AGTCTGAATGTATGTAAGTTCTCTGTGGTCATTATTTTTGTTTTCTTTGGGGCTATACAGACAGGCATAAAGAGCCAGTATGGGGGCAGAGTGGGGGCGTGGCAACCATATGCCAGGTGCCCTGACTCCACCCCCATGCCGGCATGACATCACCCAAGCAACCACACAGCAGGCGGTGTCAAACCAAGTCTTTGGCACAGCGTTTAATGCACTGCGCCAAAGAAATGGAGAAAAGCCGCCTCCGCTTTTGTGGTGCAAAAAGGAGCTGCTTTTTGTGCCTTTATTTTGCACCATGGAAAGGCCAGATTGGGGCCGTGGCATGCATGGCCCCGATCCGGCAAGGAAAGAAGCGGTGTCCTGCCACCCCCTAGGGGCCATTTGTACAGTCCCTTTAGTTTCAACAGTAAGCCTACCTTTGCACTTTCTTCTTTGATCTTCCTTAGTAGGTGTTCCAGGTCTGTGAGGTATTCTGCTAGCATTATGGTATCGTCAGCATATCTCAGATTGTTGATATTTCTTCCTCCTATTTTCACTCCTCCCTCTTCCATGTCCAAACCTGTTTTCCTTACAATATGTTCTGCATACAAGTTGAACAGATAGGGTGAAAGGATATAGCCTTTTCTGACTCCTTTGCCAATTGAGAACCATTCTGTTTCTCCATGTTCTGTCCTGGCAGTAGCCTCTTGTCCCGAGTACAGATTCCTCATCAGGACTATCAGATCTGTTGGCACTCCCATGTCTTTAAGGGCATTCCACAGCCTTTCATGATCTATTCAGTCAAAGGCTTTGCTATAGTCTATAAAGCAAATGCTGATTTTCTTTTGGTGCTCCCTGCTATGCTCATTAGCCATTGTATATTTGCAATATGATCCCTGGTGCCTTTTTCTTTCCTGAATCCTGCTTGGACCTCTAGTATTTCTCTCTCCATGTGTGGTTAGAGTCTATGTTGCAGTATTTTAAGCATAATTTTGGTTGCATGGGAGATTATTGCTATGGTTCTATAGTTGCTGCAGTCTCTTGTGTCTCCTTGTTTGTGTGGCTGGGGATGTATATTGATCGCTTCCAATCTGTTGGCTATCATTTTGTTTTCCATATCTGTTGACATCTGTTGGTAAGCACTAGAGTTGACTGTCAGTGTGGATTGCAGCAGTTTAATTGGTATATTATCTTTTCTTGGAGTTTTGCTTTTTACCATTTCTTTTATTGCAGCTTCCACCTCAGT